AATGTTCCAAGGTGACATTAGGTGCTTTAAATGTCATATTGTGTAACATTTGCTTTAGATTTTGCTTTCTGTCTTCAAAACTATTTAAAAGAATGGACATAATTGTAAGGCATCTCAGCAGTCCTTCAAATCGTAGCTTCCCAGCTTGTGATCCTCATTTGGAGTAATTCTGTGAAGTCAAAGTAGCATGGTCATGACCTGCATTTTGTGTGAGAACTTGAACTGTAAATATACAGCCCCTTGGTCACTTGGGTGTTGGTTCAGGTGGTTGGCAGACCCATATGAGTGTGAGTGAAGAGTCCTGGATGGATGTGAGGGGAATGAGTTTGTATGATGTTATTTTCAATGGAATAGCTAGACTTACATTTTAAAATGTACACTTTTTTTATTTGGGAAACTATTACAAGAGTTCTTGGGAGCATTTTTATATTGTACTTTACGTGTTACCAAACAATATGTTTTTGGGGGGAGTGTAGGTTGGAGTTCTCAAGCTACCAGGCAGTCCTTCTGTGCTTGTCTTTTTCCAACCCTTTCCTATTGGATGGAGTTCCCAGGAAGGAATTGATTTTTAGAATGAAAAATGGTAGGGTGGGGCAAGATGAATTGTTCTGGCCTTCTTCTTCTTTTCCTAAAACACTTATGTGTCTTTGCCTGGTCACAGGTTGGTGGAGCATCTGTGAAGTGCCCTCCCCTCATTAATAATGTCCTGGCCATGCCTGCTTTTTTCTGATTTGAGAACAAACCCCCATCCCTAGAGACTGCCTGGGATGTTGGCCAAGCTTGTGAAACCCTCAAAAGCAGCCACGTTACTCCAAGAACTTGGTGTTGCTGAGTGAGGAAAAAAAGGAGCAGCAGCCTTTACATTTTTTTTTTTTAATTTGTGTGTGGGTAGAAATAATACCAGTTTAGGGTTTTGTTTATTTCTGTTATAAGGATGTAAACATTATAGGCACATAGTAGAAGAGCCTGTTAACTGATGTCCTTCCATAGTTCTATAAAGGAAACAAGTTCATGTTTCCTCACTAGTACAAAACACAGATCATGTTGACCCAAACCCCCCTGATTTTACCACTCTTAACTGCCATGTCAGGTTCAGCCTATAGCTCTTTTAAAATTTCATGCCTAAGAACAGGGAGGCAAGGAGAGGTTTTGGAGGTGGCTTGAGCTGATTCACCATCTGGATGTTATTACAAGGGACAGTCTGGGCTTGGTCCTGCCCTTTTCCTTCCACCAGCACTGGTGCTGAGCCTGCTTTGACTCACTAAACCAAGAGAAATATATTGTGCTGTGGTAGCTGAGATACCCACTGTAGCAAACTGCTGCCTTTCAGCAAATACAGCTGCAACTGTTTGCTTAAAACGAGCTGGAGGATTTATGAAAACAACCAGAAAAGTTGAATTGTTTCCTTTTTTTTTTTTAATTTCCCTCTACTGGATAGCATTGACTTTGATAAGCAGTCTCTGCACCTAGAGATGTTCTTCTGCATGGGGATGTAGCCAAGACATTTTGGGATGTTCACCTTGTGCTTAAGAAGGGATTTTGGTGTGGGTGAACTGAGCACACACTGCCCAAAGTGCCTGGGGGCAGGAGCAGCAGAAGTGAATGTCCCTGGTTTCATTCTTGCCCATAATAAAGTCACTGCTGGAGCTTACTACAACGATCATGAGGTTTAACAGGTCCCTTACTGCACTTAAATCACATGGCTGGGTTGTAATGAACATGCTGAAGTGAAAAAACAGCCCTTTTCTTAAAATAAGAAAACACAGGCACAGAAAACATCCTTTGTTTTTTAAAAATGAACCATTGCACTTGGGACTCTTTCTTGGTCAAAATTTTAACAGGTGGGACTCCTTATTCTTCTCTCTTCCTCCCGTATTTTTTAACTAATTAGGAGCAAGTCTTTTAACTCTTTTCATGCTTCTATTAATTATTTGAGGGTCTCTCTGTTACAGGGCACACTTTGCTCATTACTGGTTTCCTACAGCTGATGTTGACAGGTTCTTGCTGCCCTTGGAGAGGAGCCATGGGCTCAGGTTGCTGCTCTCCGGGTTGAGGGTGATGCTTTGTTTGCTCAGAGCTGGACACGTGCTCAGCTCGTGGTGTTGTTTTGTGCAAATGATTCAACCCTTGTTGTGTACAAGTAATGCAGTAATTTCTTGGCCAGGGATGGGGAAGATGGATGTGTTTTCCAAGTGCTGGCCCATGACTTGCAAAATCTGGATGCTCTTCATGGCTTTGCTGCCAACGTACTGCATGACCTTAAGTAAGTTATTTAGGGTAAAACCTAAACTGTTGGTGTTAGGTAATACTCATGGACAGTCTGCAAGGAAGATCCTCCAGTCTGAGGGGAAAGCAGAAGGCTGCTGAGAGCCTGGAGTGGAGTGAGCTGGAGATGGGGTTGGGATCTTTCCAGAAGGCAATGTGCTTAGTCTTAACGATTTGGTGCCTTTTAAAAGTAGAGCCCAGAGAACTGAAAACTTGTCTTTTTAGGCATGTGCTGGGCACAAGATTTTGAATTTCATTTGCACCTTGAACTGGGAAGCAATGAGACAGTATCTTCTCCTTACATCCAGGGGCAGAAGGTGCTGAGGATCCTCCACACCATGAAGGAAGATGCTTATAATGCACATTAATTATCTGCCATTAGTTTATCTGTTACAATCTGACTAGAATAGCCTGGCGGTAAAATTATGACTGTAAAAGCATAACGTGCAAGATGCTGGTCACTGAGCTCTTCCATAGCCCTTGACTCCTGCTGCTGTCCAGCTGGGCTTGAAGGCAGATGATGGGAGTGATGTAAGTGGTGCCATGTATGCGAGATGGGGGGAGATATTAAAGAAAGAAAACAAAGAAATGACGTTTTCGCTTGTTGGACGGTGAGGACTGTTGGGCTGGTCTCCCAGGAGAAGTGAGCAAAGTACATATTGACACATTCGTGGTGGAGCTGGGACAAAAAGCCCTCCTGCTGCTCTGGGCACAGCATGATGAGGGGCTGGGTCAGTGGGGCAAGACTCATTTCTCTGGTGACAGGGATTCATCTCTGTTTGCATGGTCATAGTTTAGAAGTAAGTGGTTTATGGAGAAAACAGCTCAAGAATTTGAGGCTCGTGTTCTTGCCATAGAGAAATAGGTTTTATGGGCATTTTGAATGTCATAAAATTATCAGAGTGGCTGAGGTTGGCTGTGTAATTAGTGGGATGGGAGCTATTTTGTTAGATTCAAATCCTTTTCCAAAATGTTTTCATCAGCTCGGGGATTTGGGTCAGACCTTCTTCAGCTTCGGTTCTTTTACCTGGGGGGAAGTTAGGGAATATTTCATTTTCCAACTTTCCCCATCACTGGAAAAACACTAGAAGCAAGGAGAACAAAATTCAGATTCCTTTTTCTGTGAATTGGCAGACTTCAGCTGCAACTCCATCTGTGAGCCTGTCTGCAGACTTCCAGTTGCCTTGTACTGACTTACGTGCTGGGTTTTGTAACAACAAAAACACATTGCAAAGACACGAGATTTTCATCTGTCATGGTGTTGCCCCGTTGGTGGCACCGGAAACTAGGTTAGCTTGGGTTGTGGCAGTGCTGCATCTTTCCTGCAGAGAAGGCAATTTTGATTGTTTTCCCAAGGGAGGAAGAATTTTTGATTCAAAGTAGGTTTTGTACTTGAGGTGATTTAAACATGATCAAAGTCAGTGGAATTTTATTTAAAATAAACACAATTCTCCTAATCAACCCTTTAAAGAGAACATCTGGGGAAAAAATGATGCGTTTTTGTAGATTTAATTATTCACTTGATTTTTTTCCTTTTCAATATCTGATGATGCTTCCGCTGTTTGAGGATAGATAGGACTTTATTGACACAATTAGCAAAACAAATGATTATCACACCTTTTCCTTAAACCTGTGCTATTTGATCTATTTGCTTGCACTTTCATTACTCCTTTGCTTGGTTACATTACACAATGTTATCACCTTCCTGTGCTGCTGCAGCTAAAACAAAGTGAAAAAAAACCCCTTTTGACTCTCAGCTGCTCTGCTGTATTTTTTTACAGATGAACTAGAAAGCAATGCTGGGCAAAGAGTTATTTGAGTTTCCTTTCAGTGCTTGCTGGGCATTATTTTCGGGCTTGGCACTTGCCTGTGTTTATGCGACAGTTTTTTCATATTTTAAAATAACAAACAAAAATCCCAGCAACTCTATTCCCAGTACAATTAGTAGGATCAGATTAAAAGAACCGAAAAAACAAACAACCAAACCCCTCCAGATTATGATGCATTTATATACATCAAGTACTGGATTCTTTATGACTAATCCCCTGGTTGTTTTGAGCCACTTTGCTGGGATGTGTTTACTTTCTCTGAAGGTAGAGGTGGGAAGCATAGGTCTGCCTGGTTGGAGGTCACAGTGGGTTGTTGTACTCAATAGCTGAGTGTTTCAACTGTGTCGGGGATAGGATCCCACTGATGGATTGGGCCAGACCTTGATGCAGATTCCTGATGGTGTGATTCTCCTGATGGGGGATAGACATTTTCCTCTGAACTCAGGAAGGTAGGTGGTCCCGTGGATCTGCTGCCTTACAACCCTCTCTGTCATCTCTGCTGGTAGAGAATATACCTCATTAGCTTTAGAAGAGGTAAAAAAAGGGATAGGGGAAGAAAACTGTCTGCTTTCATCTGACAAAAAAGAAGAGAGTTTTGGAAGGATCTGTTGGTTAGGTGAGAACTTTTTCCAGTTACTGGCTTGTTGTCCTCCTCCTCTCACATCACCTGGCACCTGTGAGGCATCTGGAGGTGGTGGCCCTATGTTGTGCCTGTGCTCACTGTGACATTCATTTAAATAAATCACACAAATTAAAATAAAAAAGAAAAAATCCAAAAAGCTTCCTTCTGTGCAAAAATAAATCAAAATATATGAGTTTGAATGGGAATAAGCCTCGTCCAATGTGGTAAGAGCTGTTGTGTAATGGCCTGTCCCTTTCCTCTCTCTGAAGGTACCAACCCTACGCATCCCACTGGCCTGGAGTAACGTTTGGAGCAGCCTGGCAGTGCAATCCTTTTAGTAGCTTCCAAGGATTTTTGGGATCATGGGATACATGGACATACAGACCCATGAAGCCCTCTGGAGAATGCTGGCTGTGGATAAAAGCATCTTCAAGTTCTTACCATCTCTTTACCCTGTTTTTTCCTGGATCACCTTGTGTCATTTGGGAAGGAAGTCTCTCTGTCCTGAGGATTATAGTGTACCAGTCACTTAGTGGAATACCTCCCCAGTCATCTTCTCGAGATGGAGCCATTGCTTTACCAAGCTGGAAGATATCTTTTCTTCTCCCAGAGCCTTTCCAGTGCAGCAGCACTCCTGTCCAGCAGGTATGTAGATGGTTTTCTCATTGACTAGCCAGTTTGCTTTCTTGATCTTTAGGAGTTCAATCATTTTTTTTTGGCTTACTAGTGTCTGCTAAAGGTAAGGCCTTCCAAAGTCCTTGGTGCCATGCTCCGAAGGTGGCTTTTCCTTGTTGGGTCAGACCCAATTTGAGATGTAGGTTTGTGTGGAGCAGTGGTGTCAGCTTCTCCTGAAGGTTTTGATACCCAACCTTAGCCTTATGTATGAGGAGAGGAATGGATTTGATGCTTCTTATTCCTCCTGGATCCTCCTGGACTCTTGGGCAGCTGTGTTTGTAACCCACAGCTGGCACCAGCTGTGTGTGGATCAGTTTCTTGGGCTTCGTAGTCTCATTTCAAAGAAGATGACACAAATGTTTAATCCATTTTTCATCTTAATTTAACAATATTTCTGCTGAAGAATGTAGTTTAGAGGTGCCTTTAGCTCTCCCCCTTAAAACTATTCCTATTCAATATAGATGTGGACAACTCAATAGCAGTAGTGACAACGGCCAAATTTGCATTTTTAGTCATTTACAATGAGTTAGGTATTTTTCTAAAGGTGACAGGGTTTTTTCCATTTTCTTTGATAGCAGAACTGGATCACTGTTTTTGTCCCTGTGGTTATCAATTTGCTGTGAAAATCATCCTTTTTGGCTCTTGTGCTGGTTTTGTCAAATGCTTATGTGTGCTGGTGAACAGATCGCTCCTTCTATGGGGTGGACAAAAAATCAGCTCTTTGTACCTAACTTACTTATTTTTACTATACAAAGAGGAGGTGCTGAAGGGCAAGGGCTGAAAATGCTTTGTAGATTTATTTTGCATTCCCCTCAGCATTTGTGAGCCATTAAAAGTTTCATTTTCTTGCTTCGTAAGCGCAATTTTGCATCAAAGGAAGGAAATGCGAGGAGGGGGGGCTGGTGAGTAGAGCATGTTCAGGGGGAAGCAAAATCAGTTGCCTCACTCTTGAATTTGACTGCGACTCATAGGCCAAATGGAGATGGTACACAAAGATTGGGGATAAAAATAGAAGCAAAGTCTCATAAAGGCTTGCTGTGCCTGTGAGAGGCTGGAACTAACCCTGGGGATTTGGTGAACAGCAGCATCATGCCAGGTTGGTGAGGATGGTCTGTGGTCAAGCCCTGTGCAGCATGGTCATGTGCTAAGGTAGAGCTTTCTCCAGCAGGACTGCCTGGAGGCTCAGCCCAGCAGACCACGGCACTTGCTTTCATGGGCTTTGTGCTCTGCTGCAGAGGCATCCCCTGGAACCAGTTCTTCATTCCAAGATAAGAGTTTTCCTTTCTTAACCAAGCCCTACTTTGTGGGTTGAAGAGGAAAGATGTCTAGCCCTTTTTTCTCTCTCATGAATACAGAACACAGCTTTCCCATCACCGAAATTCCTGGTGTTTTACTAGCTCCTAACTTCTAAAGCACCTAAGAAAAAAGGATCACTGGCAGTTTGAGCTTTTAATCTACAATTAAAGCAAACACCGTTGATATTTAAAGTTGCTTTTGTGTTTTTTTTTTTTTTTTTTTTTCCTGTGGCCAGCTGTTTGATAAAGACATTGCAAACCAGTTCTCCACTTGTTTCTGTAAGATGTGAAAAGGTCCTTTGTTAGCAGCACATTGCGATGGAATGAGCTTTATCTTTTGTAAGTAACTAGGAGCAAATGGGAGTGTCAGTTGCTCTGCTCCGGTGCTGCAGTCCCTTTGGTGCTTCTGGAGGCCCCTATTTGGACTGAACGAAACCTGGCCTGGCACCTGGGTAACCCAGAGCAGCCCCAGGGTGCTTGCTCTCCGAATTGTACGGGTCTGTGCAAGGAGAAAAGGCGTGGTAGGTGTACCCCGACTCTGGTGTTCTGAATTGCTCCTTGCAGTGTGACTCGCTAGTCACACAAAGTCTTGCAGGCATCTGGCAGACCTAGGGTACCTGGGGATGGCCCGAGACTTTGAGCTTGGCCAAGAACAATGTTTTGGTTGCAAATCTACAGCTGTCTTTTACAGGGAAAAAAAAATCATCTCAGGTTTTATTCAGAACAGGTCTCATCCTGCAAAGTTGTGGGGAGGCTTTGGAGAGTAAGTAGTTTAAGGTCTTTCCCCTTGGTCAGCATGAGCATCCGGGTGAGGGGGCTGCCAGATGCATCCCTGGGTGCTAATTGAAAGATGAACCCCATCAGCATTTAAAATATTCGCTGGTAAAGTAGAAAAGGCTTTCTTTCAGTTAGGGTGTAGATCCTCAAATCAAAATGTCCTTTAGGGGGTGGTTGGTCTGTTGGCAGATGCATGTTATTAATAATAATAAAAAAAAATACAAAATGCTTCAATTTGGCTGCTTGTAAGGGTTATGTATGTGGGTGTGTGTTTCAAAAGCACATAACTGATTACAAAAATCATTGATGGGCTAAGTCGGTATTAAGGATGGTTGAATGACAGTGAAAAGCAGCCCTGGCACATTGCAGGGATGTTCTTGTCATGACTAACCCCTCTCACTCTCACCCCAGTGGAATTTTTTAGTGCCCAGCACAGACAAGCACTGAAATTGCAGGTTTGTAGAAGGTTTTTAACTCTCTCCCCAGCTGGCAGCAAATAAAGGAATTGCAAGTATTTATTGGTTTAAGGGAAAAAAAACCCCTCAAAGCTATAAAATAAATTTGACAATGAAGCTTTTTTAAGGGAGTCTTGACTTTATGGGTTTGTGAGTCAAATGTGTCAAAGCCTGACAAAGGAAGAGGTTTTAATCTACAGGTGCTGTCTCTTGCTTGATGGTTTCCTGTTTCTAAAATTACTTCCAGCTTTTTTGGAATCGGGGCTAAAACTAGTTTCACCTTTCAGTTTGTGGTCACCCTCCATGACCACTTCAGCAGGCAGGATTTGCAAGGGTTGGGGGCAGCAAATGCAAGTGCTTTTAAAGATTCTTAGCTTGGCTGCCAAAACTCCATTTGCCACTTTTAAAATATTTACAGCTGAATCTTGGGATTTGCATCTTCCTCTGCTTGCGGAAAATGCTGAAGCTGCTGATGCTAAAATTTCGCTTTGACCTTTCTTTCCCTGTCCTACATGGGGAGTTTGGAGGAGACTATACCCCCCAGGATGAAGGATGCTGATCCCCCTGTGCTCATCCTGCTGCTACTGACCCCAGGACCCTGATTTGGAGATTGTTGGCTTTTGCTCATCGTGCAACAGTGAGAACCAACCCAAGCAAAGCAAATTAATTGTGGATCTCAGTCCTTAGGTTATGCTAAATCCTTTAACCCCTTTTGCAGCATGTATTTTCTTTTCTTAGGGGCTGTCCCTCTATTGGGGCACTTACTAATGCCATTTGTACTCAAACTTTGTGCCCTTACTGCAGGCCATCTAACTGGGGATACACAAGGCCATATTTCTGTTTGTTTCTATAAGTAAATAAATATTTATATATTTTTTAAGATCTGGAATAATCCTGCTAGTATGTCTTGAAATGTCTGTTTATTACTTTGAAATATTGCTCTGAATTTTATACTGACTGAAGCATCATAGTCACTTTCAGAATGAAGGTCTTTCTTAATGTGTGATCTTCACTTTTCCACGAGTGCCTGCATCTGCACAGTAAATACTGAACTATATGCTGACTTATTGTGCTCTTCAGGTTGCAAAGAAGCAGCGAACTATCACAAGACATACTGCTGTAAAAGCCAGGAAAACAAGAGGTATCTACTCGGCTTCCCACTCCTTTGCGCTGCTTTGAGGGGCTCTGTGCAGAGCTGAAGGTGTCGACAGGCTGTTTTCTTGGGCTCCCATCTGCTGAGCAGCATTATGTGGATTAATATTGAGGAACTCTTAGTGAAATTTGTCTCATGCCACGAAAATGTAAAGCCTCCAAAGCTGGCTGGCATCCCAGGGCTGCGAGAGGCCCTTGGAGGGGCTCCTGGTGAAGGTGGCAGGATTTGCACTGTCCCAAAGCCGCGAATGGGACATGATATGAAGAGTTTCTAATTGAGATTTAATCATCTCCAAGCTGGTCTGGTTGCTGACTTTGGACAGCAGACAATAACTGCTGGGCAGGAACGGCTGCCATGGGGCCAGCCTGCCACCACGGGAGGACATCTGCCCCATCTTCTGGTTCTGCAGCGTGGAGCCCAGTTCAGAAACACAGAATGCCATTTTGGGCAGTATTTTATTCTGAGGGTGTTTCTTGAGCTGGAAGCAAACCTCTCACCTGGCCTCCTAGTTTTTCCCTGGCAATGTTTTGGGGATCCCACGGTTTTGCTGGCTCTGCTTTTGCAGGGTACCATAGTTGCTCTACCTCCTTTTTTTTTTTTGCCTTTGCAGTATCAAAGCCAGGAGGTTGGATTAGAGACCCGAGGTGCCAGCAGCAAAAAGGGGACCTGAGTATGTGCAATAAAAAAACCTTATATATATATTTATAAAGATTATTGTAGACAAGTTGGGGGATGAGGCACAGCTGCATTCCAACCCTAGTGCCACTGGAAGGTGGATCTCTTTTCACAATTCAGATGAGAGGTCTAGCTTCAGCACAGTTTGCCTGGCTAGGGGCATTCACTGGGGTGCTGAGTGATGCTGAGACCCCTGCACTGCCCTGGCTCCCTGAAGGCTACAGGGAGCCTTTTAGCTTGGCCCCCTCCATAGTATGGATGTGCCCACCTGCGGGCTGGCAGCATCCGGATACTGAATTGCCATCATCCTCCCCACTGGCACCGTTGCTTGGCTTTTATTAAGCTTTTTGCAAAGAGCAACTCTTCCTTCTGGGGCCCCTGTGTAGTTTTATCCAGGGCTACATTTGCATCACCGTCAGGTGGTTTTCATTTGACCCTCGCCCTGCTTAAAAATTAAATACCGAGGTACTAGGAAGAGAAGTAATCTCCCAGATAAGCACTTTTTCCCTGCTCTTCTGTAATTCATGGGGGAGCTGGCTTACCCTGCCTGTGGATGACTAAGGAGGAAATTCTTTTTTGGTTAGGATAATGCTGACAGTTCACTGGAATTTTTTT